GGGGGGCTGGCACCAGCACCTCGAAGCCCACCGCCTTGGAGGGGGGCACGATGCTGACTGAGACATTGCCCAGGCTGGAGGAGTTGTGGCGGAAGTAGACACTGAAGGGCCCGTTGATGTGGTCGACGATCTTCCCTGTCACCAGCAGGCTGAACTTCAGTGTCTTGATGTTGAAGTAGAAGTCTCCCCAGCCAAAGATCTTCTTGGTGCGGCTGGACTTGAGTGAGGGCTTGCGCCGGGCACGGGGGCTTGGCAGCTCCCCCGCTGTCTGGTTCTTCTGCCAGTCCCAGGGGATCCATGCGGCGCCCGAGGGTGTCCCCACACCCCGGGGGGGCTCGGCCGGAATCAGCCGCCTGGGGTTGAGCACTGGGGGCTTCAGGGTTCCGTAGGGGACATCCTTGAGGAGGCCAGAGGTGCCCAGCTCCAGGTACCCCAGGGTCTTGGCCATGTGGCCCCCAGCACACACTGCCTGGGGGAAAGAGGGCAGAGACTGCACGAGCTGTGCCTGCCACCCCCTTGCTCATCCTCCTGCCTGCTGCCCCTCATGCATCCTCCTGCCTGTCCACATGCACCCTTCTGTGTCTACCCCTCCTGCACCCCTGCATCCCTTCTGTGGCAATGCACCCCTCCGGCACCACGTGCCCCTTCGGCACCATGCCCCCCCATCTGCCATGCCCCCAGCTGTGCCCAGAAGCAAGCGTGGCTGCACTCTGCCCATACCGCCCCCAACCCCTGCTCGGCCCTGCACAGGCCTGTCCCAGACACACCCCAGGAGCCAGGGCTGCTTCTCCAGCATCACCCATGTCCCTGTGACTGGAAGAAGCAGGACACCAGACAATTCATGACTGCCTGCCCCACCACAGCTGAGGCCTATTAAAATGCAGGGGGGTGGGGAGCAGCAGTGTGTACAGAGAGGGAGAGGCATCAGAGCCCTGCGCCGCCTGCCAGGGAAGCCTAATTGCATTACCCAGTGCCTCTGATCTGCAGCTGAAATTACAGACCCCCCCGCCAGGCCGCACGCCAGCCACTCCGCCCTCCAGGATAATTGCACCGGGCAGACACGACTGAAGAGTGGGGTGCATTGTGTGCAGAGGGGGGGCATGCAAGGAATGAGTGGGGATCCCTTGCTCTGCTGGGAGGGGGGGTGGGGCTGGGGGGTCACTTGCTGCATTTTGGCGAGGGAGGGAATTTGCAGCAAAAGCAGAAAAGATGGGCAGCAGAGGGAAGGAAAATGCCAGACAGCTGCAAGGTCCCTGCACCGGCACGGGGACACCCCCCCGGCCAACACAGAGGCAGGAGCCCTTGGCAAGGGCTCTCATGGGGTGGGGAGAGGCAGCTCCTCTCCTGGTGAGGTAAATCGAGGCAAGGAGCCACGATGGAGACCAGCTGCCTGGTCTCTCTAACCTGGGCGAGCTGTGAGCCCGGTTAAGGAGGCCCTGATGGGCACTGGCATACCAGGACCCTCTGGAGATGCAGCCAGAGCTGGGATTTCACACAGCATCTCCCAGCCACACCAGTTGAGAAAGGGACTTTGCGCACCAAGGGGGCTGGAACCCACCTCCCATCTGGTGCCAGCTGGGATGGGACTGCAGTGTCCCCTTCCTGAGATTCCCCCATGGCCATCGCTCTGCCTGTCCGGCTGCTGGGACCAACATCGCACAGCTCAGCAGCGGTGAGCAGAGCCAGCTGGCACCTCTTCAGCCCTGGGATCCCATCTCTGACGTGTTCCATGTCCCTCCCTTGCCCGAGCCTGCCTGCCCCCCCACTTCCCCATCCCTCAGCCTGACTGCTCCTGGCTCTGCACCCCGGTGCCCAGCATGCCCCTGCCTGCCCTGCCAGCTGCTCCCGGTGTGCAGGATGCTGCTCTGTCAGCCCCAGCCTCGTCAATCACTGTCACCTGTGAGCTGGCAGGTGCTTGGGCTGCTCTGGCCGTTTTTGCTCTGGACGACCTGTTTCCTGAGGGGGACGCAGGGAGGAGAGGAGCGGGGAAAGAGGGCGGCAAGCAGAGGCGCCAGCTGGAAGGGCCTGGGGGGTAGCATGGGGAGGCTGTGCCCCCATATGAAACTGAGGCATGCCTCAGCACTGAATCTGAGCCAGTGGGGCTGGAGGCAGGGTAAGAGGTGCTGGGGATGGCTTCTGCCTGCCATTGCTGGAGTCTTATCCTGGCACCAGCCACCCTGCAGCACTGTCAGAATGGCTCAACGCTGTTTCCCCCTCAGAGCACAGGGTGCTCTTCTCATGCCCCCCCATCAGAGAGGGGTGAGCCCCCCCGCAGCCAGGCAGGTCTGTGTGCAGGGACCGGTCTCTGCAGGGCACCCAC